CACCACCACCACCATCATCATCATCATCAGCATCATCAGCATCATCAGCATCATCATCATCATCCTCATCACCATCATCACCATCACCATCACCATCATCATCATCATCATCATCACCATCATCGTCATCAGCATCAGCATCAGCATCCTCATCCTCATCCTCATCCTCATCCTCGTCCTCATCCTCATCCTCAGCATCATCATCATCATCATCATCATCATCATCAGCATCATCATCATCACCATCACCCTCACCATCATCATCACCATCACCAGCATCATCATCATCATCAACATCATCATCAACATCATCATCAACATCATCATCAGCATCATCATCCTTACCGTCATCATCATCACCATCACAATCATCACCACCATCCGCATCATCATCATAATCATCATCACCATCATCATCATCAGCATCATCATCATCATCAGCATCATCATCATCAGCATCATCATCATCATCTTCATCTTCATCATCATCAGCATCATCATCATAACCACCACCATCATCATCATCATCAGCAGCATCATCATCATCAGCATCAGCATCATCACCACCAGCACCACCATCATCATCATCATCATCGCCATCATCATCGCCATCGTCATCGTCATCGTCATCGTCATCATCATCATCATCAACCTCATCATCATCATCATCATCAAAAACAGCATCATCATCATCAGCATCATCATCAGTATCATCATCATCATCATCAGCAGCATCATCATCATCACCACCATCATCATCATCATAACCATCATCATCAGCAGCAGCAGCATCAGCATCATCATCATCGCCATCACCATCACCAGCATCACCAGCATCACCAGCATCATCATCATCATCATCAGCACCATCAGCACCATCATGATCATCATCAGCATCATCAGCATCATCATCAGCATCAGCATCAGCATCAGCATCAGCATCATCACCATCAGCATCATCATCATCATCATCAGCATCATCATCATCATCAGCATCAGCATCAGCATCTCCATCATCATCAGCGTCATCATCATCATCATCAGCATCATCAGCATCATTATCAGCATCATCATCATCATCAGCAGCATCATCATCATCCTCATCGTCATCATCATCCTCAATCTCATCCTCTTCCTCATCCTCATCCTCATCATCAGCATCATCATCATCGTCACCATCATCATCATCATCATCATCACCAGCATCATCATCACCATCAGCATCAATATCAGCATGATCATTATCAAAAACATAATCATCATCCTCATCATCAGCATCATCATCATCGTCAGCAGCATCATCATCAGCATCAGCATGATCATCACCATCATCAGCATCATCGTCATCATCATCATCAGCATCATCATCAGCATCATCAGCATCATCATCAACATCATCGGCATCAGCATCAGCATCATCATCAGCATCATCATCAGCTGTTGCATCAGCATCATCATCGTCATCAGCATCACCATCATCATCATCCACATCATCATCATAATTATCATCATTAACATCCTCACCATCCTCATCATCAGCATCGTCATCAGCATCATCATCACCAGCAGCAGCACCATCACCATCATCATCAGCAGCATAATCAGCATCAGCATCAGCATCAGCATCAGCATCAGCATCCTCATCCTCATCATCATCATCATCATCATCATCATCATCATCAGCATCATCATCCTACAGTTGAGTTGAGGAGGGCTGAAATATCATTTGTTTGCACGTTCTTGTAGCTCCTGTCGGGCACCCTGGAGACCTCTCGCCGCCACGGCTGGATTCCCCCCATCAAGATTCGGGCCAAGACGCATTCCAGGAGAGGCCCAGGGGCACAGTGCAGGCGCAAGGAAAAAGCGACGCCAGGGAGGGGTCTCCCTGCTCGTGCCCCCCCCCCACCCCTCTCTCTCGCTCGAGACACCTCCCCTATCCCCAGCTCGAGGAGGTACGGTAGACCCCCTCGCTGGAGGTGGGCCTCCCTGGTGGTGTCGCTTCTCCATTCCCCGAGGCACGCTGGCATGCGAGCGAGCAAGACTCCCCTCGCGTCGTGAACAGAAGCTCGGCGGTGGCGCCGAGCCGTCTGGCCGCTTTCCGTCCAGAGCCTCTGAGTCCAACGCCCCATCAGTAAAACGACCAATCATCATGGAGAGCTGATCCTGGGGCAGGGCCCGATACCTCGAGGGGTTTATGTGTTCGTTGATCTGTATGTTTCATCGCATTGCTTCGTCTGCCTTTCTCTCTCTTGTCCACGCTGTATAACTGGTTGTCAGTGTCTTTCGCGTGCGCTCGATGTGTACATATATATATACATATATATATGTATGCTTACATACGCATACAGTGCTACCGGATCATAAGGATGCGCTTGTAAGGATACAGTGCGCTTGGACGCCCAGATCGAGGCTCAAGCTGGGAGATATGGACCATGGCTGAAGACCAGGATGGGCCGAAAGAGTCAAGGATGCAAGGGTACCCTCGGAGTGATACTCACCCTCATGGTTCAGGTCTGACTGTACATCGGGAGCCTGGTGAGAAGGACGAAGAGGAGTTGAGGGGGGCAGGCACTTCCCAGATTCCCCATATTTTCTGGGACATGGACTGTGAATTGTGTATGTTTTTTCCCCTCCTGATAGAGGGCGAGGGTTCGCCCCAGAAGGGACGAGGGCGAGGACGAGCTGCCCCTGGAAGGCGAGAGCTCGCCAGTCGCAGCGCCACAGCATGGTGGGGAGGGGGGGCAGACGATGAGTATCGTTTATCGATCCCCATCCCCAACGGCGTGGCCTGGGCCCCACTGGCCGATTTACCCCCCTAGGTGGGGATATAGGTCGTTCCCCTGGTTTCGATGGGTGTATCCCCAACTGAGGTGGTGGGGGTCTCGAAGGGGATGGGGATGGGGATGGGGATCGGCTAAACGATACCGAGAGGATGGCGAGAAAAGGGCGAAGACGCTGCTGCAAAAAGAACAAGTCGTACAAAGCCGCGGCAGCGCGACGGAATCGCAAGCGGAGCTCTGCGAATATACAAGCCTGCTGGAGCCAGATGGGTCCGCGACGGGGGAGCGCGACGCCAGGTGAGACGTGAAGCACCACCCTCAGAATCGAACCCCTGCAAGTCCCGCAGCGCTCTCTGGACAGAGTCTCGGGGTGGTTCTGGCCGTTGCGTCGCGACGACGAGCTCAGTGTATCCAGGTACGTATATGGATCCAGTGCACATATACAGGCATCTGTTTCTGCTTTGGTAGGTACAAAGCACGTGCGTCAACACATGAACATACTAGCATATACGAAGGCAGCATGAACATATAGTTGGATAAGCACGCATGTGTGAACAGATACTGTGCACGAATCATCACGCGTTTCGCGGGCGCTCGAGTTCTAGCGCATGCGGGAAGTGCATCCAAAAGAAAGTACGGCCGCCGGATCGGAGAGCAGAGTGAGTCATAACCGTCAGGGCTGTCAACATCATGATCGCTAGTTATCACCATCACCACCGACGAAATTCAGAAAAGCATGATCCTCATCATCACCAAGATCTCCATCATCCAATCTTACACATCCTCGTCGCAATCGACATAAACATCATCATCGGCATCAACACCGTCATCATCATTATCAACATCATCGTCGTCATCGTCACCATCTTCGCCGTCATAATCACCAATATAATCATCGCCGTCATCGTCACGTGGGCACTCTCTTGCGTGACTTAACTTGCACTGCTATCTGAGCCCTCTGGGAGCCCTCCGATGCCGCGCTGCAGGGCATCCTGGGGGCCTCTTGGGAGCCTCCTCGCGCTCTCTTGGGGCGTCGTGGGTGCCCCTTAGAGAGTGTTGCGAGACGTCCTCGGGCCATCTTGGAGTCATCTGAGAGCGTCTTGGGCCTGTGTCGGACCTCTCCTGGAGCTTTGCTGGACGATTTCGGGGACAGCTGGAGGCCCCCACGACCCCATCGGAACCGAAAAGGAAAGAGAGCCACAAACACTGAAAACACAAAATGTGTTGTACTATTTGAAGCCATCGTGAGCGTCCTTGGGAAGCCCCGGGGCGACTTCAAATCCAACGTTTGACCCTGAAGGATTTTGACCACCCCTGGGCTGTCTTTGGGCCATCGTGGGCGTTCTTGGCCCGTCCTGGCGGGATCCTCGGGGGCTCGTACTCTGTGTCCCTCAATAGTCCTGGGGGTACCCGTAGTCAGGGGAGGATGCCTGTAGTCCGGGGGAGGGTTACCTGTAATCGGGAGGGGGGGTACCAGTAGTCCGGGGTCGAGTACCTGTAGTCCGGGGGAAACGTACCTGTAGTCTGGGGGGGTGCCTTCAGTCTGGGGCGAAACGCGTGTTCACACGTCAACGCACTCGTGGATGTAGTCCTGTGGGGGGGTCCTGTGGTCGGGGGGGGTATACCTGTAGTCTGGGGGGCGGGCACCTGTAATCCGGGGGAGGGATACCTGTAGTTCGAGGAGGGGTACCTGTAGTCCGGGGGGTACCTGTAGTCTGGGGACCCAGACCTATTGAGGGACACAGAGTAGGCCTTGTGCAGCCTTCTGGGGCCATCTCTGGCCGCCTGGGATGGCAGTACAGTCGGACCTAGGCCAGAAGAACATCGTTCAAGAGCATGATACCCTCCATCTGCCAAAATACACAGAACATCCAAGGGTACCCTCCCCAGGATGCACAAAGAACATCCCACAAACTCGAAGAGCACTAGGGCACCCTCCCCGAACCGACCTCGATCTGATGCCTCGGCCCGGCTGTAACAAAACTGTTGCTTGTGCCCTGGATCCCTAGTCGAGCGATCCTCGAGCCCCCAGTGGAGAACTCTTGGAGCGTCTTGGGGGCCTCTTGGCGGTCCTGGACGCCTCTTAGATCGTCTCGAGTGCTTCCGAGAGCTTCTTGGGACTTCTTGGGGGTCTCCTGGGAGCCTCTCGGAGGCCTCTCGGGCGCCTGGTGGGGCCTCCTGGGGCCTCCTGGGCGCCTCTTGGGGCCCACCTTCGCGCACCGTGCGCTGCGGTGCACGCTGCTCTTCGTGCCCTCGCGGCGCCCCCCACCCTTGGAAAAGGGCAACCGCTCTGGCCCAGACCGCGACGTTTGAAGGGGCCCTGGGACACACAAATAAATACACACAAATAACAGGATTCCCAATAGTTTGACATATTTTCTGGGGGTCCATGATTAATTGTGTCTGTGTGTTGTTTCCCCTCCTGAGCGTCGGACGCGCGGTTCTCCTCGCGCCCCCGCGGGCCGCCCGGGCTCCTCGACGGCGGCGGCGGCGGCGGCGAGCGGGCTCCTTCTGTTTCAGGCAGTCCACCGCGTTCTTTGCCTCGTTCATGGCGGGCATGGCCTCCTCCAGCTCCTTGGAGGCCTGCTCCTGGATCTGCGCCGCCTCCCCGCGCGCGCGAAGAGTAGTAAGAGGACCCGTGGTGAGCAGAGGAGGACGGGGAGAGGAGGGGGCCGTCGCCGACGATCCTCGGGGGGGCTTCGACCCCAGACCCCGGCTAGACCCCTGGCGGTCCTCGAGGATCGAAGCTTGATCGCAGATCCTCGAGGGCAGTCGCGGACAGATCCTCGAGACCAGTCGAGGCCTGGCCGCAGATCTTCGCGAGGAAGAGGAGGAGGAGGAGGAGGAGGAGGAGGAGGAGGAGGAGGAGGAGGAGGAGGAGGAGGAGCACAGGGTGCAAGATCGGGGAATCCTGGTAGGCACCTGAACTGATCTGAGACCATTCTAGAAGCAGCCCCCCCGCCCAGGGTACACCCAGAGAAGCAGTCTAATAAGACACTGGTGGCGTCCATGTTTCCAGGTTTGCAGGGGATCCGCAGTGCCACAGCGACGCGGAGCCCGTGCAGACGCGCCGCCACATGTGCTCACCTTCAGCCCCAAGAGCGAGCCCTTGAACTTGGACTATGGTCGCGGCCGCACGCCAAACTTGCCACCGAAGCACCAGGAAGCACCAGCCCAAGAACATGCAGGCCGGGAAGCTCGGAGCACTTTTTTGGTCTGCGGCCCGTTTTGGTCCAACAACAGGTACAGCAAACGGCGGGACGCGTCCGTTGCGAGTTGAGGCACAGGGGTACGAGGAAGAGGAGGAGGAGGAGGAGGAGGAGGAGGAAACCCAAGACGCCGCGGCTCCTGGCAGGAGGCTCTGCTCGGCGCGATGCGCGACCGAGGCGGGAAACAGAAACAACAACAAAAGATCACACGCCCTCGAAAGAAAGCGCACAGGACGGTCCACCGGTCATATCCTCGTTCTCAAACCACTGCCATCAAAGGCATGAAGAACACGCCAAGGAAGCAGGCCCGCCAGAGATTTGGACACCCGAAATGGGTACCGAAAGAATGGGTACAATGCCCAACAACAAATGGTGTCCCAAACCAACAGCGGCCGCTGTTGGGCAGGCGGCCTTCTGTCTCGAATGGACACAGGCCGCGGCGGCGTGGACAGCGAATCCTGTTCAGAATGAACAAGAACTGCTGTTGGGCATCGTACCCATTCTTTCCGTGCCCATCTCGGGCGTCCAGAAGAGACAACAGGAACCAGGACAAAGCTAGCACCTGATGGCCGGCTCGGGGCAGACCCGCCCGACCAGTCGCAAGACGGACGAGTAGAAGAATCACCATGAGCAAGAAAGAAATATTCCAGCATGAGCGGTGCCTCCATTTCCGAGATACGAGATCTTCTCCTCCTCTTCTTCCTCTTCCCCGCTGGCGCCGCAGTGATCACAGCAGTCTCAGCGGGCTCGCAGGCGGTGCGTGAACGAGAACGGGGGGAACGCTTCGAGCGTGCTTCCCTCGGCCAGGACCTCTCAATCAAAGCGTCTGCTGCGTTTAGCTGAAATGGGAAGCGAGAGAGCGGGAGAGAGCGAGAGAGAGAGAGAGAGTGAGATATATAGATAGAGAGAGAGATAGTAAGAGGCAGAGAAAGAGAGAGAGAGAGAGTACCAAGCAATACATATATATATATATATATATATATAGAGAGAGAGAGAAGCAAGAAAAACAAGAGAGAGAGAGAGAGAGTGAGAAACACAAAGTGATCACGACAAAGAAACCTGTATGGAGAGAGCATTGAATCCTCGCACCCTCCTCTCTGTAAGTGCTACCCTGTGTTTCAAGGCCTTTTGACCTGGACTCCCTCGCGCCGCGGATCCGCTCGACAGGGGGCAAGGGCAGGGGCGAGAACGACCGACAGCAAAGAGGAGAGAGCTAGCAGGGGCCAGGACGAGGGGGGGAAGGAAAACGACGACGACGACGACGACGACGACGACGACGACGACGACGACGACGACGACGACGACGACCGGCAAAGCCAGCGGAGCGGCAGGACCCCAGACCCCCGACGTCGACGTCACGAATTGTTCATGACGTTGCCCCTCAGGGTCTGGACCCCTTCCCCTGGACCCGTTTCTCGCCCCGAGCCGTTCCTTGACGGTCCCGAGGCCCGGCGAAGGCCTCCAAAGGCCGAACATAGGGAGAAGCTGCCCGTCATGGCTTTGTCGTGTCCAGCGGGGGTGCGAGACGAGTTACTTACCACGACGACGGGGGCGGAGAGCGACGAGACGGCGGCGGCGGCCCCGGGCCTCGGCGGCGAGGGGCGCGCACTTCTCCTCCTCCCTCCTGGCCGCGTCCTGCTCCTTGCCGCCGCGCGCGCGCGCCGGGCCTCGGGGGGCGCCCTCCGCAGACTTCCTCGAATAATCAAAAAAAACATGACAGGGTCTTATCTATATTTTCGGCCTCTGGGGGCCCTCATCGGCCGTTGGGGCCGTCAAGAAACGGCTCAGGAGAAAGAACCGGTCCAGGCGAACGGGTCAAGACCTCTGCGGGTCGACGTCATGAACAAATCATGCCGTCGGGGGTCTGGGTCCGGGGGGGCCCTGGGAGGGGGGGGGAGGCATCAGCTGGCCCTCGTGCGCTTTTCAGGGGCTCTGGCAGGTTCGGCGAGGGGGCCCGTGCCCCCGCCCGCGTGCGCCCGCCGGGCCTTCCTCTGGGCCCTCTCGGCGGCGAGCCCGCAGGGGGGGGGAGCGAGAAGAGGTAGGGGGAGGAGGAGGAGGAGGAGGAGGAGGAGGAGGAGGAGGCATCAGGTGGCCTCGAAGGCTCTCAGGGGCTCTGGCAGGTTCGGCGAGGGGGGAGGGTGCGGCTCGACGGGGGCCGTCGCAGGCCCTCGGAGGTCTGCGCGCGCGCGGGGGGCACGCGCGCCCTCGCCGACGACCGCGGCGGCTGCCCGCGAGATAGATCCCGAGCTTGCGCATGAGCTCTGGTGTGCGGCTTGCTGGTCAGCGCGTTCGATGCGACGACCGCGGCTTGCAGGCGTAGGTCTTGCCCCCCCCCCGCCCGCCTCCAAGGAGGTCTCGCACCCAATGTCACTCTTGCGAAGGGCCACTCCCACGCGTACCCATCCTTACAGGAACAATTTATCGGGGCTCGTCGTTGCTTTCGTCATCGGGATCGGACAGGCGCCGTCGTTGTCACTAGAGTCGTCGGTGCCGTCCCCGCCGTCGCCGTCGCTGTCGTCTGGCGGGGGGAGAGAGGCGGAGGAGGAGGAGGAGGAGGAGGAGGAGGAAAAGGAGGACTCGCTTGGAGGAGGCAGAGCGAGGTAGAGGAGGGAGGTTAGGGGGGGGAGATGTGTGAGATAAGGAGGGACAGAGGCAGAGGAGGGGATGCTTCCTCCCCTACGCTGGGGCGACATCCTGACCGCCTTCTGTCGCCTGCCCGCTCGCCTGCTTCTTCCTCCGCTCAGCCCCCTCCTCCTCTTCCTCCATTCCTTTGCCTTATGGATAACTCCCCCGGGCCGCACCCCGAGGCCAGTCGGAAGGGCGGGCCGCGCGTTTCGCCTGAGACGTCCTTGCCATGTACGAGCCTGGAGCGTAAAAGCTGACAACCGCTTCACGTATGGAGGGCGGGTGACTTCCAAAACTGTGGCTCTCGCCTCAGCACCGCGCACATTCGTTCTGGACATGTGCAAGAGCTTCACGATTTGAGGGCAGGTCGTCTTCAAAATGTGGCTCTCGCCTTAGCGTCGCATTGCAAGATCTTCACGGGTGGAGGGCGATTCGTTTTCAACGCGTGGTTCTCGCCTTAGCGCCGCGCGCATTCATTGACACAAGTGCCACAATTTCGCGGATTCAGGGCGGGTGATTTTCACACACGTAGCTCTCGCCTCAGCGCCGCGCACTGTCGAGATTGACAAACAGGCAAGAGTTTTGACTGTTTGAGGGTGGGTGGCTTTCAGCATGTTGCTCTCGCCTTAGCAACGCACATATTCGTTTAAAACCGTTGCAAGAGTTTTACGGATTGAGGGCGGTTCTTTTTGAAAAAAGGGGCTCTCGCCTTAGCGCCGCGCAAACTCCTGATTAAATCGCAACGTTTCACCCATTCGCATTGTTAGTTGAGGTTCCCCAAATGGTGTTATGGAACGATTTAGGATTGTCAGGGCGCAGTAATCACTTACATTGATTCGCGAAGATGAAGTCCTGGGATTGGTATTCTGGCACGATTCAGGGTCGTCAAGACGCAACAACCAGATTAACTCCTGGAGTTGAAGTTCCGAGAACGGTGTTCGGGCATGCTTCAGGATGTTCACACGGTTGTCGCTCAACGGTGCAATTCCCTCAATGGAAATGAACGCTTGTAGGGGCCTATGAAGAGGGAGCTTGGAGGTACTGTGTATTCCCACATCGTCGATGAGTTGTTGGTTTACACTGGCCTTCATCCTCCTCCTCCTCCTCCTCCTCCTCCTCCTCCTCCTCCGCCTCTCCTCTCCTCTCCTCTCCTCTCCTCTCCTCCTCCTCCTGCTCCTCCTCCTCCTCATTCCCCTGCTCAACACACCTCTGCCCCGAACCGCCAAAGCACTCGCGGCCCCCCCACTTCTGTGAAGGGGCCCTGGGACACACAAATAAATACACACAAATAAAAAGATCCCCCATATTTTCCCATATGTTCTGGGTTTTTGTCTTCCCCCCTACTTCTCATGTGTTCCCATATTTTCCTGGGAATCGACGATTAATGGTGTCTGTGTGTTTTGTCCCCTCCTGATTCTGCCCTGAACCGCCACTGCACCCCATGCTGTGTGTGCATTCCCGCGCTCGCCGATCACGGTCGAGACCGCAGTCCGCGCTTCCGCGTGTCCGGCCCTCCCCGCCCACTCATCCTCCGCATCCTCCCCCCACTCCTCCCCAAAACAATCCTCCTCTCCTGCTCCTCCTCCTCCTCCTTCGCCTCCTCCTCCTCCTCGAGGGCCACAGTATGGCCAGGGCAGGCGCCCGAAAGCCAGTGAAAACATAAGCATGCGGACACCTCCCCCTCCTCCCCTGTGTTAGGATCTGATGCTGTAGCTCAAGCTTGTGTTCTGACGTCCCGCGTCGACGTCTGACAACGACGACGGGGGTGACGACGACGACCAGCCACAACGTCCGAAGACCACAGCGACAACGACTGCGACGACCACGGCGGCGGCGACGACGGCGACAACGTCCGACGACGTCGGTCCAACGGCGACGGCGGCGAGGTCCGACGCAAGCGGTACCGACGCCGGCGGCGTCGACGGCGCCCGTCCTTGGCGGCGACGGCCTTGGCGGCGGTGACCTGCTTTATCAGATCTTCCGTTGCCTGGGTAGGGCGTCGCAGAGGTGGGGGTTCAGGGCGCAGAGGTGGGACTACCCAGGGGAAAATCGCCCTGCACGGTCCCTGGAAAAGGAAAACACGCAAGCCTCGAGCAGGGGCTAACCCGTCCTATGTGGTCCTCCTCCTTCTCCTCCAACTCCTCCTCCTCTTATCGTCCTCCTACCTCCTACTCCTCACTTCTCACCCTCACCCCTCCGCCTGCTCCTCCTCCTCCTCCTCCTCCTCCTCCTCCTCCCCTCCCCTCCCCTCCTCTCCTCTCCTCTCCTCTCCCCTTCCTCCTCCGCCTCCTCCCTCCTGCTGCCTCTTGGCTTCCGCTCGCTCGTTCGCCCTCCTCCTCCTCCTCCTCCTCGCTTCTCCCTCATCTTCCTCCTCCTCCCTCCTCCTCACTATGAACCCTCGACTGGGGCGGCCCATCGGGGCGGCGGGCGGGTCGGCAGCTGGGGGGCGGTGGTCAGAGCGGATAAGCGGGCAGGGTGTGTGTGAACACAGTGCGTGCGTCCCCGACGGACGGGGGGAGGAGGTTCACTGCCCACCAGGGGGGGGGAGAGTCAAGGGGGGAATGGAAGGAAAACGGGGCAGGGGCATCAATCCGAGGAGAACTTTCAACGAGGGGGGGGAGGGATAGAGAGAGCAGGAAGAGCAGGAGGCGGAGCAGGAGGAGGACAAGGAACCCGCACGGACCATCGAGACTTTGCACATGTCGCCCTGCCCCTTCGCAAGAGGTAGGGATGGCCCCAACCTCCTTGCAGTAGAAGGGAGAGGAGCCTCCCTCACGGCAAGCACCCAACTCCGAGCGAGGCCCCTCATAGAACCGCACCCAAGGAATGAGTCGGACGGGGCAGGGTCTCTCGTGGCGAGCGCCCACGTCGACCCGTAGCGAAAAAGAGTCATGGGGGGTCGTCGTGTTCTTTCCACTCGTGGGACCAACTCGCGGCCCGTCGAGGGCCATGGGTAGCCCGCCCAAAAACTGACCCTGAACGGTCTTTAGACCCCGCCCCCCCCCCCCAAAAAAAAAGGTAACTAATCATTTGCTCGGCGGCCTTAACTGAAGGACTGGGGCCCCACCAACAAACAAAGGGGAAATGAATAATTTCTTCCGCGGCGCCCGCCGCACAACCACGACGACGACAGATACGCCTACGACTGCGACGACGACGACGACGACGACGACGACTAGGACGACTACGACTACTACTACTACTACTACTACTACTACTACTACTACTACTACTACTACGACTACTACTACTACTACTACTACTACTACTACTACTACTTACTACTACTACCCCCCCCCCCCCTTTGATTTGACCCCGATACGCCCCCTCCCCGACGTCGCTGCGGGGGAGGCGGCGTAGTAGTAGTAGTAGTAGTAGTAGTAGTAGTAGTAGTAGTAGTAGTAGTAGTAGTACACGTACTAGTAACAGCAGTAATGAAAGTAGTAGTAATAATAATCATACTGATAGTAATAGCAGTAGTAGTAGTAGTAGTTGTAGAAATAGTAGTAGTAGTAGTAGTAGTAGTAGTGGTAGTAGTAGTAGTAGTGGAAGCAGTAGTGGTAGTAGTCGTAGCAGTAGTAGTAGCAGTAGTAGTAATAGTAATCATACGAATACTAAAACAAGTAGGAATAGCAACATAAAAACACTCGTGCTCGTAGTCGTAGTCGTCGTCGTAGTAACAGTGATGGGAGTGATTGTGGTAGTAGTCGTAGTAGTAGAAGTCGTAGTCCTAGTAATAGGAGTAGTAGTAGTAGTAGTAGTAGTAGTAGCAGTAGTCG